TCTAGGGCCTTAGGTAGTTTAATTGTGCTTTTGAACTGTCATCCGTTTCTAAGAGTAATCTAAACTCAAAACTTGATCCATTTTTAATTTTATTTAAATTCACTCTTCGTTCTATTTTAATTTAAATTCAAATGATAAACTGCTTAAATTCAAAGAGGACTCCATTTTAATTTCTATTTAAATATTAATCCACTTTGCTTTGCAGTGAGAATTGAATCCATTTTAATTTAAATTCAAATTTTAAACGGTTTAAGGCTAAATTCCATTAATCTATTTTCAATTAAATCCAAATGGTAGTCCGTTTAATTTAAATTCAAATTTTAATTCTTTTTTAATTTAATTTAAATGAGGCCAATGGGATAAATTTAAATTTTATTTCTGCTGCAGAATAGTTTTCCTCAACTTTGAAAAAGTTTTTTATGACTGTTTTTCAGCATCCCCATGATCAAAATTCCTCCTCCTCCTCCTCCTCCTCTCCACACTCCCTTCTAACTTTGGTGAGGTTACCTAGTTGGATAATGAAATGTCTACAAGAAAACAGCCAAGCTCAGAGAGCACTAAGGACCCCACAGTCTTTATATCTTCCTCCTCCTCCTCCTCCTCCTCCTCCTCCTCCTCCTCCTCCTCCTCCTCCTCCTCTCTGCAAACCCCACTCCCTTCTAACACTGATGATGTTCCCTAGTTGGATAATGAAATGTCTACAAGAAAACAGCCAAGCTCAGAGAGCACTAAGGACCCCACAGTCTTTATATCTTCCTCCTCCTCCTCCTTCCACAAACCCTACTCCCTAACTCCCTCTCCCTTCTAGCACTGATGATGTTCCCTAGTTGGGTCATGAAATGCCTACAAGAAAACAACTATCCTCGGAGAACACCACGATTGAACGCTGAGCTACAAATATTCTCTCCTATCGGTAACGGGATTTCTTGTTTGTTTTCCACCAGAATTCTTTGGCATAACCAGTTGGGCACAATTACTTGCCGTTTTCTTAGCGGTGGTAGCTCTGGCCCTGTTCTCCCTGCTGATGGGTTTCCTTAACATCTGTAAGTATCTCTGCTTCTCCCAGCCTTCCGATCTCATTCCTGTGTAGATTAGAGAGAATAGAGTAGAGAAGAGAGAGAAGAGAGAGAAGAGAATGAAGGATAGAATAGTAGAGTAGAGTAGAGGAGAGGAGAGGAGAGGAGAGGAGAGTATAGAGAATAGAGAATAGAAGAGAGGAGAGAATGAAGGATAGAATAGAATAGAATAGAATAGAATAGAATAGAATAGAATAGAATAAGAATAAGAATAATGAAGAATAGAATAGAATAGAATAGAATAGAATAGGAATAAGAATAAGAATAAGAATAATGAAGAATAGAATAGAATAGAATAGAATAGAATAGAATAATAGATAGAATAAAGATTTAGAAATACAGATTAGAAATACAGAATAGAATAGGAATAGAAACAGAATAGGAATAATGAGAATAGAATAGAATAGAATAGAAATTTAGAATAGAATCGAATAAGAATCAGAATAGAATAGAAATAATAGATAGAAAATACAGAAAGAAATACAGAATAGAATAGACATAGAAACAGAATAGGAATAATGAAGGAATTAGAATAGATAGAATAGAATAGAATAGAATAGATAGAAATAGATAGATAGAAATACAGAATAGAAATACAGAATAGAATAGGAATAGAACAGAATAGGAATAATGAAGAATAGAATAGAATAGAATAGAATAGAATAGAATAGAATAGAATAGAATAATAGAATAGAAATACAGAATAGAAATACAGAATAGAATAGGAATAGAACAGAATAGGAATAATGAAGAATAGAATAGAATAGAATAGAATAGAATAGAATAGAATAGAATAGAATAGAATAGAAATACAGAATAGAAATACAGAATAGAATAGGAATAGAACAGAATAGGAATAATGAAGAATAGAATAGAATAGAATAGAATAGAATAGAATAGAATAGAATAGAATAATAGAATAGAAATACAGAATAGAAATACAGAATAGAATAGGAATAGAACAGAATAGGAATAATGAAGAATAGAATAGAATAGAATAGAATAGAATAGAATAGAATAGAATAGAATAGAATAGAATAGAGAGTAGAGAAAAGAAGAGACAAGAGAGGAGAGGAGAGAAGAGAAAAGAAGAGAAGAGAAGAAAATGAAGGATAGAATAGAGTGGAGTGGAGTGGAGTGGAGTGGAGTGGAGTAGAGTAGAGTAGAATAGAGTAGAGTAGAGAAGAGAAGAGAAGAGAAGAGTAGAGAAGAGAAGAGAAGAGAAGAGAAGAGAAGAGAAGAGAAGAGAAGAGAAGAGTTGGAAGGGATCTTGTAGGTCATCTAGTCCAACCCCGTCCCCCACCATCCTGGAAAAAGTTGAAGGAAAATCTTCTTCTGCCCAATACTCTTTAGACCCATCACCAGCCTCTCACTGATGACTCACACCTAACCCATCACAAGATCCTCACTTGACACACGCACACCTGAAGCCCTTATAAGCAGGAGAACGCCGACATTGACACCCCCTAAACACCCCTGAAGATGTTACCCAGCCTGGTAACGAAACGTTCGGAAACCAACCCACAAGCTCAGAGAATGAATATTCTCCCTCATCCTTCACCTGAGCTAGAGACATTTGCCACTATTGCAAGTCTCTGGTTTACTTCCCCTCCGTTTCAGATATCCAGAAGGCCGACACATTAAATGCCCAAACTCTCCTGATGAGGACCAGGGAGAAAAGGCTGAACGATGCTATCAAACTGTTGGCGGGAGACCAAGGTAAGCCTCTCCCCCGTCTTTGCTCCTCCTGGCTCCCAAACGGGGGGACCGCCCTGCGCAGCTTCAGGCTTTGGGTAGAAAAGACAACCCTGTGCTTTTTCAGAAGGGAGCTATCCACCCCTTGTATGGCTAACCGTGTTTTAACTAACCAGGTTTTATGACTAACTGGGTTTTAACTTTAGCAAGACCCCACATGGAATACTGCGTTCAGCTTTGGTCACCACATTACAAAACAGACGTTGAGACGAATAATGTGTGTATAAACAGAGAACAAACCTCACCCCTTTCTTGTACTGATGATGTTACTTAGTTGGGTCATGAAATGTCTGCAAGAAAACAAGTAGGTTCAGAGAACAATAAGGACTCCACAGTCCTCCTGCTCCTGCTCCTCCTGCTCCTCCTCCTTGCAAACCCATCCCTTCTAGCACTGATGATGTTACCTAGCTGGGTCATGAAACATCTGCAAGAAAACCACCAAGCTCAGAGAGCACTGAGGATCCACAGTCCTCCTCCTCCTCCTCCTCCTCCTCCTCCTCCTCCTCCTCCTCCGCCCTGCAAATGCTACTCCCTTCTAGCTGTGATGACGTTCCCTAGTTGGGTCATGAAATGTCTGCAAGCAAAAAAACGAGCTTAGAGAGCATCAAGGACCCCTCAATCCTCCTTTTCCTTCTCTTCCTGCCTCCTCTTCCTCCTCCTCCTCCACTCAGCAACCCCACTCCCTTCTAGCTCTGATGATGTTACCTAGTTGGGTCATGAAACGCCTACAAGAAAACAACCAGGACCCCAGAGTCTGGATCTACACCCAAAGCCCCGAGGACTTGGCAATGGCTGCCTCATCCAAAGAGGGCATTAGAAGGGAGGCCTTAGGTAGGAGAGGTAGAGAAAAAAATAATTTCAGGGACTTCGCCGCCCTCCCAGTTGTGTAAAGCTCTACTCCCCTCATCTTCAGCTACTCCTTCCGGCCCTCAACTCAGCCTTCCTCCCCCCCAGTTCTGAAGAGGGTGTGTACGTGCGAAGGGAGAAGAACGGGACGAGTGAGCCTGGGGGAAGGAGTGCCTGTGCTTTTCTCTCCCCTTGGCCTCCTCTCCTTCTCTAGGTCAACACTGCAAACCCTGCGGGGACTACACCTGGCTGCAACGGGCGGAAGGCTGCTACCGATGGACGGATGGCTTGATGCCCTGGAGAACCTGCGAGGACGAATGCCAGAGGCAGGGAGGCCGGCTGGTCAAGGCCGACACGGAAGGGGAAATGGTGAGACTTCTCGCCATTAGTGGAACTGGGGGTGAGGAGGTGGGGGGGTGGGTGCGGGGGGGGGGCTCCCTGCATGTTCCTGGATTTGAAATCCTCTCTCCCCCCTCTCTCTGTCTCTCATCTATCTCTATCTCTGTCGGTCTGTCTATCTGTCTATTCCATCTCTTTCCTCTCTCTCTCATCTGTCTGTCTGTCTCTCTCTCTCTCTCTATTCAATCTCTCTCTCTCTATCTATCTATCTCCTGTCTGTCTATCTATTCCATTTCTTTCCTCTCTCATCTGTCTGTCTGTCTGTCTGTCTCTATTCCATTTCTCTCTTTCTCTCTCTCTCTCATTTATCTGTCTGTTTGTCTCTATCTATCATCTATCTTGCTATCTATCTATCTATCTATCTATCTATCTATCTATCTATCTATCTATCTATCTATCTACCTCAACCTACCTTTCTAATATCTACTGTGTCTGTCTCTGTCTCTATTCTATTTCTCTTTCTCTCTCTCTCATCTATCTGTCTATCTCTGTTTGTATCTATCTATCTATCTATCTATCTATCTATCTATCTATCTCTGTCTATCTATCTATCATCTATCTCACTATTATCTATCTATCTATCTATCTATCTATCATCTATCTCACTATTATTTATCTATCTATCATCTATCTCACTATTATCTATCTATCTATCATCTATCTCACTATTATCTATCTATCTATCTATCATCTATCTCACTATTATCTATCTATCTATCTATCATCTCCCACTATTATCTATCTATCTATCTATCTATCTATCTATCTATCTATCTATCTATCTCACTATTATCTATCTATCTATCTATCTATCTATCTATCTATCTATCTATCTATCTATCTATCTATCTCTCAACCTACCTTTCTAATATCTACTGTGTCTGTGTCTCTATTCCATTTCTCTCTCTTTCTCTCTCTCTCATCTATGTCTGTCTGTCTGTCTGTCTATCTATCTATCTATCTATCTATCTATCTATCTATCTATCATCTATCTCTATTCCATCTCTCTCTCTCTACCTACTTACCTATCTTCCTACCTTCCTACCATCATTTGTCTATATGTATTTATCCATTCTATCCCCTCCTCTCTCTCTCTCTCTCTCTCTCTCTCTCTCTCTCTCTCTCTCTTTCTATATCTCTCATCTCTCAAAACAAGGCTGGGCCACCATTTGCCTGGGATAGGAGCCGAGGTGGCGCAGCAGTTAGAGTGCAGTACTGCAGGCCACTTTAGCTGACTGTGTTCAGCAGGTCAGCGGTTCAAATCTCACCGGCTCAAGGTTGACTCAGCCTTCCATCCTTCCGGGGTAGGTAAAATGAGGACCCAGATTGTTGGGGGCAATGTAAATATATATATATACATTGCTTACTGGTGTACACCGCTTAGAGAGTGCTTGCACTTAAAGCGGTATATAAGTCTCATAAATAAATAAATAGCATATGTTTTCCTGCTCGTGCAGAGGGTTGGACTAGAAGACCTCCAAGATCCCTTACAGCTCTGTTGTTCTTTTATAGAAGTAAAGTCTCTGGTTTTGTCTCGATATACACTTTAAGAGTCTTCCTGATCAAGAGGTGAACTCTACTCCAACATTTCTTTACGTGAATGGGTGGACGTTGCCAAGGTGCACGGTGACCCCTGTCCTTGGGCGCCCAGAATTTGGGGTGGTTTCCTGCGGACAGCCCCGAGTTCCCACCTTCCTGGGCTGTGGCCAGACTCCGACCGGCCTCTTATTCCTAGGAATTCCTGCTCCGAGAGTCCCACAAATGGGTCATCCTGGTTAACCACAGCTACGTCCTGCAGAGGACCTGGATCGGTTTGTTCTTCAACCTGTCTCGGGGGACCTGGCACTGGGCAGACGGAGGCTTCCTGCACCTCCGGATGTGAGTTTCCCCTCTTCACCCCCCCCCCCGGGGCTGCGTGGGCAAGAGGCGGAGCTCATCGGGGGGGGGGCCTTTAAACTTTAAAAGATCTTTTAAAATGTTTTCGAAATCCTTTTTCCAAAAGTCGGAGAATGCTGGCCTTAGCCTGACTCCTGAAGGGACACCAAGTCCTGCTTTAAAGAGCAGCCGATGTTAGGTAATAATAATAATAATAGTAATAATAATAGTAGTAAAGTTGGAAGGGACCTTGGAGGTCATCTAGTCCAACCCCCTGCTCAGGCAGGAAACCCTACACCATTTCGGACAAAGGGCTGTCCAATCTCTTCTTAAAAACTTCCAGTATTGGAAGGAGGGAGGGAGGGACGAAGGAAGGAAAAAAGAATAACAGAACAACAGATGGAAGGGACCTTGGAGGTCATCTAGTCCAACCCCCTGCTCAGGCAGGAAACCCTACACCATTCCGGACAAATGGCTGTCCAGTCTCTTCTTAAAAACTTCCAGTGTTGGAGCATTCACCGCTTCTGGAGGCAGGTGGTTCCACTGGTTAATTGCTCTCAGTGCCAGGAAATTTCTCCTTAGTTCTAGGTTGCTTCTCTCCTTGATTAGTTTCCACCCGTTACTTCTTGTCCTGCCTTCAGGTGCTTTGGAGAATAGCTTGACTCCCTCTTCTTTGGGGCAGCCCCTAAGATACTGGAAGACTGCTATCCTGTCCCCCCTCGTCCTTCTCTTTGTTAAACTAGACATACCCAATTCTAGCAACCGTTCCTTATATGTTTTAGCCTCCAGTCCCCTAATCATCTTTGTTGCTCTTTTTTCTAGAGTACAGAGAACACACCCGTCCCGGTGGTCCTGGACATACGACAGTTTGTTTAGTGGCCGTTCAAAGTTACAACGGTTATATTGTATTAAATTTGTAAAACTTTTAATAAAAGAAAAAATATAAAAAAGTTACAACGGCGCTGAAAAAAGGGACTCGTGACTGGTTTCCACGCAGCATCCCCACCACGGAGCTCAAAATTCCTGTTGCTAAGTGGGACAGTCCTTCAGTGAGTTTTGCTCTGTTTTATGACCTTCCTTGCCATACCTGTTAAGTGAAACACTGCAGTTGTTAAGTGATTAACATGGTTGCTAAGCAGATCTGGCTTCCCCACTGGGGTTTATGGGAAACTTGCCACAGGAGAAGAGTTACCCTAAATACAAGGTTAGGCAACCTTGGCTCTTTTATGACTGGTGGACTTCAACTCCCAGAATTCCTGGGCCAGCCATGCTGAGGGGAAAGGGAGAGATTTCCAAGCTGAGCCAGGCAGGCTCAGGAATTCTGGGAGTTGAAGTCCACGAGTCATGAGGGGGCCATAGTTCCCCCATGCTGGTCGAGGAATTATGGGAGTTGAAGTCCACCAGTCATGAGGGGGCCATAGTTCTCCCATGCTGGCTGAGGAATTCTGGGAGTTGAAGTCCGCAAGTCATGAGGGGGCCATAGTTCCCCCATGCTGGCTGAGGAATTCTGGGAGTTGAAGTCCGCAAGTCATGAGGGGGCCATAGTTCCCCCATGCTGGCTGAGGAATTCTGGGAGTTGAAGTCCATGAGTCATGAGGGGGCCATAGTTCCCCCATGCTGGCCGAGGAATTCTGGGAGTTGAAGTCCACCAGTCATAGAAGAGCCAAAGTTGCCTACCCCTGCCCTAATATCAAACAAAGGGCGGAATAGAATCATTAAAGAAAGGATGCCGAAGGAGGGACAACATGAAATGGGAACGACAAAAGATTTAAACTATTTTCTTTTCTTCATTTTAAATAATTAAATTGAATGGTTAAATTCTCCTGCAGCCAGTTGTCCCGTGGCAAGTTCGCCATGTCGAGCTTTCCTGTGGCAGCGACAAATTAGTAATAGTAATAGTAGTAAAGTTGGAAGGGACCTTGGAGGTCATCTAGTCCAACCCCCTGCTCGGGCAGGAAACCCTACGCTATTTCGGACAAATGGCTGTCCAGTCTCTTCTTAAAAACTTCCAGTGTTGGAGCATTTACTGCTTCTGGAGGCAAGCTGTTCCACTGATTAATTGTTCTCACTGTCAGGAAGTTTCTCCTTAGTTCTAGGTTGCTTCTCTCCTTGATGAGTTTCCACCCGTTGCTTCTTGTCCTGCCTTCAGGTGCTTTGGAAAATAGCTTAATTCCCTCTTCTTTATGGCAGCCCCTGAGATATTGGAATACTGCTATCATGTCCCCCCTTGTCCTTCTCTTCGTTAAACTAGACATACCCAATTCTAGCAACCGTTCCTTATATGTTTTAGCCTCCAGTCCCCTAATCATCTTTGTTGCTCTTCTCTGTACTCTTTCTAGAGTCTCAACATCTTTTTTACATCGTGGTGACCAAAACTGGATGCAGTATTCCAAGTGTGGCCTTACCAAGGCATTGAAGAGTGGTATTAATACTTCACGTGATCTTGATTCTATCCCTCTGTTAATGCAGCCTAGCACTGTGTTGGCCTTTTTGGCAGCTGCAGCACACTGCTGGCTCATATTTAAGTGATTGTCTACTAGGACTCCGAGGTCCCTCTCACAGTTACTACTATTGAGCATGGTGCCACCTATGCTGTACTTGTGCATTTGGTTTTTCTTGCCTAAATGTAGAACCTTGCTTTTTTCACCATTGAATTTCATTTTGTTAGTTAGTGCCCAGTGTTCAAGTCTGTCCAGATCCTTCTGTATCTGAAGCCTGTCTTCTGGAGTGTTGGCTATTCCTGCCAGCTTGGTGTCATCTGCAAATTTGATGAGTTCCCCATCTATCCCTTCATCCAAATCGTTGATGAAGATGTTGAAGAGTACTGGGCCCAGAACAGAGCCCTGGGGCACCCCACTACACACTTCCCTCCATATAGATGCAGTTCCATTGAGGACCACTCGCTGAGTACGGCCGGTCAGCCAGCTACGGATCCATCTGGTGGTGGTTCTGTCTACCCCACATTTTTCTATCTTGTCAAGTAGTAGGTTGTGATCTACTTTATCAAATGCCTTACTGAAGTCCAAGTAAATTATGTCCACAGCATTCCTCTGATCCACTAATTTTGTCACTTGGTCAAAGAATGCAATAAGATTTGTCTGGCATGATCTATTTTTGACAAACCCATGTTGGCTTTTAGTAATGACTTTGTTTGCCTCTAGGTGTTCGTTGATTCGTTGTTTGATTATCTTTTCCAGGATCTTCCCAGGTATTGAGGTCAGGCTGATAGGTCTGTAATTTCCTGGATCCATTTTTTTTCCTTTTTTGAGGATGGGAACTACATCAGCTCTTTTCCAGTCCTCTGGTAGTTCCCCTGTGTTCCAGGATCTTTGAAAAATATAGTTCAGTGGCTCCGATATCACATCTGCCAGTTCCTTGAGAACTCTGGGGTGTAATCCGTCTGGTCCTGGCGATTTGAACTCATCTAGGCTGGACAGGTGCTCACTAACGATTTTCTTGCCTATCTTAACTTGTGTTTCTGTTTTGTTTTTTGTGGCACTATTTTTGATAGGTTGGTCTGTTTTTTCCCTTTGTGTAAAGACAGATGCAAAAAATGAGTTAAATAGTTCTGCTTTCTCCCTGTTGCTTGTCACCTTCTTGCCACTTCCACCCACTAATGGACCAATCATTTCCTTCACTTTTTTCTTGTTTTTTACATGTTGAAAGAAGCTTTTTTTGTTATTTTTGACTTTGGTCGCAAGCCTCAGTTCATTTTGAGCCTTGGCTTTCTTCACTTCATCTTTGCAGGCTCGGGCTATTTGCTGATATTCTGACTTAGTTATGTTCCCCTCTTTCCACTTTCTATACTTGTCCTTTTTATCTTTCAATTTGTCAGAGAGTTCTTTATGCAGCCATGCTGGTTTCTTTTGAGAGCTGTTATTTTTCCTCTTTGTTGGTATTGTGCTAGACTGTGCTTTTATTATCTCATTTTTCAAAATTTCCCAAGCTTCTTGAGTTGTTTTCCCCTTGAGGATTCTCATCCATGGAATCCTTCCCAAGCCCTCTCTAAGTTTATTGAAATTAGCTCTCTTGAAGTCCAAGACTCTAGTTTGACTGTGTTCTATTGGTTGTGCTTCTATAATGTTGAATTCTAATATTGCATGATCACTTCCTCCCAGGGTTCCTATGGCTCCAACACCGTCTATCATTTCATCTCTGTTAGTGAGAATTAGATCCAAAATGGCTAATCCCCTAGTTCCATTCTCTACTTTTTGGGAGACAAAGTTGTCTGCTAGGTTTGCCAGGAACCTGTTTGATCTTCCACTTGGTGCGGAGTTTGTCTCCCAGTTGATGTCAGGGTAGTTAAAGTCCCCCATTACTATTGTGGTGTGCTTCCTACATACCTTAGTTAGCTGACTAGCAAAAAGTTCATCTATTTCCTCTGTTTGGTTGGGTGGTCTGTAGTATACACCTATGGCAATGTCATTTCCCCCCCCTTTTATATTGACCCAAATGCATTCAAGACAGTTTTTATCATTGTTGTACTCTATTTCTGTGAAGATGTAGTTATTTCTTATATAGAGAGCAACTCCACCTCCTCTTTTATTTGGTCTGTTTCTTTTAAATAATTTAAATCCCTCTAGCTGTGTGTTCCATGTGTGAGTTTCATCCCACCATGTTTCCGTAATGGCAACAATATCGTATCTGCCCTCATTAACCTGAATTTCTAGTTCACCCTGTTTGCTGTTCATACTTTGTGCATTGGTGTATAAACATTTGAGTCCTTTGTGGGTGGCCCTGTGTTTCCTTTCTACATAACCTGTGTGGTGCCTGAGTTCCCCTATTGTCTTACCACCTATTTGGTTAGTGCACTTTATATGGCACTCGCTATTAGAGGCTTCATTTTGATTGGTAGCAAGGTTGGTATTCTTGTCCACACACACATCTGTGCTACATGCACTGATAGCCCTATAGTTTTTAAATTGCCGGGGACAGGGTTGTTCCGTATCAATTAATTCCCTGTCCCCGCTGTTTAGTTTAAATTTCCCTCCAGAAAATCTGTGAATTTATAGCCGAGTAACTCAGTCCCTTTTTTTGATGGATGCAAACCATCTCTTTTGTACATCTTTTGATTGGACCAGCTACTGACATCGTGACTAATATATCCAAAGCCTTCCCCTTTACACCATTCCTTTAGCCACATATTGAATTGTGCTATGCGCTGGCCTTTTCCGTTTTGCTCCTTATACACTGAGCACGGCCAGCTGAGCAGGGCAAGGCGAGTTGTCCCACTCGATCCCTGCTGGCTTTGCTGGTCAGAAAATGGATCACGTGGCACTGCGGCTGTCATAAATGTGAGTCCGCTGCCAAGCGTCCGAATTTCGATCCCGTGACCACGGGGATGCTGCAACGGCCGTTAAGTATGGAAAACGGTTGCAAGTCGCTTTTTCTAGTGCTGTTTTAGTAACTTTGAACAGTCACTAAAGAAATAGAATCAAGATCAGGTGAAGGGTTAATACCACTTTACAAGGCCTTGGGAAGGCCACACTTGGAATGCTGCATCCAGTTTTGGTCACCACGATGTAAAAAAGATGCTGAGACTCTAGAAAGAGTGCAGAGAAGAGCAACAAAGATGATTAGGAGACTGGAGGCTAAAACATATAAGGAACGGTTGCTAGAATTGGGTATGTCTAGTTTAACGAAGAGAAGGACGAGGGGGGACATGATAAGCAGTCTTCCAGTATCTCAGGGGCTGCCCCAAAGAAGAGGGAGTCAAGCTCTTCTCCAAAGCACCAGAAGGCAGGACAAGAAGCAACGGATGGAAACTGATCAAGGAGAGAAGCAACCTGGAACTAAGGAGAAACTTCCTGACAGTGAGAACAATTAACCAGTGGAACCACCTGCCTCCAGAAGCAGTGAATGCTCCAACACTGGATGTTTTTAAGAAGAGACTGGACAGCCATTTGTCTGAAATGGTATAGGGTTTCCTGCCTGAGCAGGGGGTTGGACTAGATGACCTCCAAACTCCCTTCCAACTTTACTATTATTATTACTATTATTATCAAATGGTTATAAGTCAAGGGCTCACTGTACTGAGGCGCGGCACTTTGACTCAGTAACTCAGTTATTTTTTTAATCCCTTGGCAGGTCTGTACAGCTAACGAAGCCCTTTGTCCCCAGAGACAGTTGCGTGGCGATTAGCAAGGGAAAGGCCTTCACCAGGCCCTGCACTGAGGAGATCAGCTGTCTGTGCAAGCAAGTCATGCTTTGAAACCATCAACGCGAACCCCAAAATGTCCTTTTTTCCTCTTATGCAATGGCGGCTCGCTCCTCAAGTGGCCCATGGTGATCCCAGGAAACGAAAATGCCCAACGACATCTCTTGTTCTTCCAAGAAGTCAGATGCCTGTATCAAGGGCTTGCCATCCCTTCGATCTTTGCTAATTTAGGCTGGCCTTTTATATCTCCCGAATGCTGATTTTTCACCGCTTTCTCTTGTCACCTTTAGGAAATTTAAAGTGTTTCGCGGTGACCGTTGGTGTTTATTTACCTTTTTCAGGGACTTCTAGGTTTTTTTTTTTTTTTAGCCTTGCCATTCCAGTTTTGCTCAATGTTAGCGCATTGACGGGTTGATAAATTTCAAAGTACTGTATATAAATATATCTATATAGGTCTTTGGTTATTCGGGTTTTCTCCCGCGTCAAATTGGAAGTGTCTTGGCGACGTTTTGACGAAGTCTCATTCGTCATCTTCAGGCTGGTGTTTTCAGCTTCGTGCTTCTAGGAGCACTATTACAGTATATATATATCTATATACTGTATATACGAATAATTTTGTTACGTGTTGAATTAGGTAGCACCAGTTGGCTGGATTTGGGTTGGCAGGAATTAAAAGTGCCCAGTGGATAATCTATAAAAGTCATAATCAGTTCTGGAGGCAAAGCTCGCCCCCCCCCGGGCCCTAAAACCTCTGGGGCAGAAACGAGGCAAGAATCCATGGATGGATGCATGTAAACATGATTGCATGAGGACCGTATTCCAGTATTTGAGGGGCTGCCCCAAAGAAGAGGAGGGGGTCAACCTCTTCTCCAAAGCACCAGAGGGCAGGACAAAAAAAAAAAAATAGTTAGAAACTAATCAAGGACAGAAGCAACCTGGCATTAAGGAGAAACTTCCTAACAGGACCATTAACCAGTGGAACGGCTTGCCACCAGAAGTTGTGGGTGCTCCATAATTGGTGGCTTTTAAGAAGAAACTGGACAGGCATTTGTCTGGAATGGTATATAGCAGCGGTTCGCAACCTATGGGTCGTGACACCATTTCACGGGGGTCACCAAGCAAGGCTGTCTGCCATTTTTTTCCCCTTTTCCGGCGGGTGCCTTACCTCCCTTGGGCTGGGCCAGCTGGTGGCCCAGCCGGTGGTCGGCCTGCTCCATCTCTGCCGCTTGCCAGCTATGCCTCGGCCGGTGCAGGGGGCGGCACCACGCATGCGTGGCGCTCCCAGGCAAGGAAAGTCCTCGACTTACGACCGGTTGGGTAGTCCTTGACTTACGACCGGTTTAGTCCTCAACTTACAACTGGTTTAGTCCTCGACTTACAACCGGTTGGAGGTCACGGCATTAAAAAGGTTGAGAACCACTGCTATATAGGGTCTCCTCCTTGAGCAGGGGGCTAGACTAGAAGACCTCCAAGGTCCCTTCCAGCTCCATTCTATTCTAGATTCTAGAGACCACATGAAGTTGTGTTGGTCAACTGGCAAGCTCTAGCCTCACACAACTGCACCATTTTGATGCCCACCCGCTTACGCTATCGGACGAGACAAACCACAAGCACGGTAGGATTTATTGACAAAAATGATCCTGGTTTCGGAGGACGACTTACAGGTTCAAACCTTCAACCTGACGGATGAGGATGGGAGCATCAGGTTGAAATCGTCCCTCAATGCCCACATAAGTCGACCTTCTCCAAGGTGGGAGCTCCCCGGACTGGACCACCAGGTCCATTCCTCTCTTCTGGAGGGGACCATGGAAGCAGGCTCTGTCTTGCAGAACCCACCTCCTCCCCCCCTTCTGAAAAGAGTCTTAATCTAAGGGTGGGGCCTTGGGTGGGACCCCAGGTCCTTTGGCCGGCCGGTCCAGGCCCTGCTCCTTCTCCCCTTTGCTCTCTGCCCGAGATCCAGGCGTGGCTGACTCTTCCGTCGAGAAAAGGACTTTTGCCACCTTTGAGGTGGGGGTGAAGGGCTCCAGGTCCCCCAGAATCAGGGCTTTCTGCAAGGCTTCTCGATGGGTGTTGCTCAGCCTGGGGGTGTCGTAATGGATTCGGATCCACGGAGTTCCTGGAAGGGAAAGGGGGAGAGAGAGAGAGAGCGATGAATCCCTCTCCCTTCTAGCACTGATGGTGTTCCCTAGTTGGGTCGTGAAATGTCTGCAAGAAAATTCAGAGAGCACCAAGGACCCCAGAGGAGTCCTCCTCCTCCTCCTCCACCACCACCACCTCCTCCTCCTCACCACAAACCCCATTCTCTTCTAGCACTGATGGTGTTCCCTAGTTGGGTCGTGAAATGTCTACAAGAAAATTCAGAGACCACCAAGGACCCCAGAGGAGTCATTCTCCTCCTCCTCCTCCTCCTCTTCCTCCTCCTCCTCCTCCTCCTCCTCCTCCTCCTCCTCCTCTTCCTCCACCACCACCTCCTCCTCCTCCTCTCCAGAAACCCCATTTCCTTCTAGCACTGATGCTGTTCCTTAGTTGGGTCATGAAAAGTCTGGAAGAAAACAACTAAGTTCAGAGAGCACCAGGGACCCCACATCTTCCTCCTCCTCCTCCTCCTCCTCCTCCTCCTCCTCCTCCTCCGCCTCCAGGTTGGGGGAGGGTGCTGCCTCTGCAGCTTTGTTGGCCCCCTTTTCGGGGGGGGGGCTCTGCCTTTTGCCTGGGTCGAAGGTGCCCCTGGCATTGGCCCAGCCCCTTCTTCGGCTCCAGGGAGCCCCGGCCTTTACCTTTGCTCACTCGCTTCCCGCTAGAGACCAGCAGCTCCGCGCCCACCCGGGGGTTGATGCGCTGCCCCGCCTGGGTCCGTCCGGCTCCCAACTCATGCAGCACCAGTGCGATGGGCATAGCCTGGATCTGCTGCACGGTCCCTGCAGGAAGAGAAGACGGGCGGACTGGGGGCTCCCTCCACTCTGGGGAGGGGGAGGGACTTGAAGCCCCAGCTAGGAAGAAGGAACCCCCCCCCCACAGTTCCTGAAAGAGAAGGGAAGGGAGGGGAGGGAAGCGGGGGAGGGGAGGGGAGGGGAAGGGAAGGGAAGGAAAGGAAGGGGGAGGGCAGAGGAAGGGAAGCGAAGGGAAGGGAGGGGAAGGAAAGGGAAGGGAGGGGAGGGGAAGCAAAAGCAAAGCTAAACAAAGCGAAGGGAGGGGAAGAGGAGGGAGGGAGGGGAGGGGAAGCAAAGCAAAGCGAAATGAAGCAAAGGGAGGGGAGGGCAGAGGAAGGGAAGAGAAGGGAGGGGGAGGGAAAGGAGGCGAAGGGAAGGGGAGGAAAGGGAGGGGAGGGGAAGCAAATCAAAACGAAGTGAAGGGAGGGGAGGGCAAGAGAAGGAAAGGGAAGGGAAGGGAGGGGAAGCAAAGCAAAGCGAAATGAATGGAGGGGAGGGCAAGGGAGGGGAAGGGAGGGGAGGGGAAGCAAAGCAAAACGAAGTGAAGGGAGGGGAGGACAAGAGAAGGAAAGGGAAGGGAGGGGAAGCAAAGCGAAGCAAAGCGAAGGGAAGGGAAGGGAAGGGAGGGCAGGGGAAGGAAGATAAAGGAAGGGAAGGGAAGGGAGGAGAGAGATGGCAGCCACCCCACCCCATACCATCTTGCAGAGCCCGCAGCTCCTCCTGGTTGCCGGCCAGCTTCAGCACCTGCAGTCGCTGCGCCTCCGTCCCTTCGCACAGCAGGCGGGAGACCTCGGCCAGCACCCCTTGGGCCCGCAGCATGGCCTGGAAAGCGTCCCGGGCAGAGCCGTCGTCCAAGGCTTGGCCGATCTGGGCCGCCCCCTTGGGCACGGAGGCCGCTCGCCCGCTCTGCCACAGCAGGATGCCGCCTGTAGCCAGAGGCCCGGTGGAGCGAGCCCAGAGGGAGCGTTTAAAAACGGAGGGGGTTAAAAGGGGCCCTTGAGGTCATTTAGCCCAACCCCCTTTTCCAGGGAGGAATTCCTATTCACGTATCCCCCTCCCACCGCAGATGGCAGTCAAGGACCTGTTTGGACACCCTGCCCACTATTTTGGATTGGAAAGGAGTTTGACCTCTCCTTCAGCTTTAGGGTTTTTTTTTTCACCCTCTTGAAAAAGTAAATAAGCAATAAGCCTCGATTTGATGTGTTGGTGGGCAAAGGATGAATGCCATCTTAAGTCTATTCACCTGTCTTGATCTTCTCGTTTCTGCAGCAAAGGGCTGCAGAGGCATCTACAGAGGTAGGGATTGGGGGAGGGGGGTCCATAGAGACCATGACGTCACCGCACAAATGTCCCCTTATCAGCTTAACACCTCCTGCTGGCTTATGTGGGAGAGACGCAAGTTGTAGAGTTTGAACAATGGGTGGATTCACAACCCCAGGAGGAGGAGGAGGAGGAGGAGGAGGAAAAGGAGGAGGAGGAAGAGGAGGAGGGGGAGGAGGAGGAGAAAGAGGAGGAGGAGGAAGAGGAGGAGGGGGAGGAGGAGGGGGGGGGGAGGAGCGGTGGTGGTGGTGGTGGTGGTGGTGGTGGTGGTGGTGATGGTGGTGGTAGTGGTGGTGAAGGAGGAGAGGGAGAAGGAGAAGGAGGATAAAGAGAAGAAGATGGTGAAGGAAAAGGTGAAAAAATGGAGAAGATGCAGAAGGGGAAGACAGAGGAGGAGAAGAAGGAATGAAGGGGAGGATAAAGGAATGAGAAGGAGAAGAAGAGAGAAAGAGAGAGAAAGAAAAAGGGGAAAAGATGATAGCAGTGATAGATGAGGAGGAGGAGATGGAGAAGGGGAAGATGGAGGAGGAGGAGAGGAAATGAAGGGGAGGATAAAGGAAAAGGAGAATGAGGAGAAGAAGAAGAAGAAGAAGAAGAAGAAGAAGAAGAAGAAGAAGAAGAAGAAGAAGAAGAAGAAGAAGAAGAGGAAGGGGAAGGGGAAGGGGAAGGGGAAGGGGGGAAGGGGAAGGGGAAGGGGAAGGGGAAGGGGAAGGGGAAGGGGAAGGGGAAGGGGAAGAAGAAGAAGAAGAAGAAGAAGAAGAAGAAGAAGAAGAAGAAGAAGAAGAAGAAGAAGAAGAAGAAGAAGAAGAAGAAGAAGAAGAAAAGAGAGAGAGAGAGAGAAAAGGGGAAAAGGATGATAGTAATGGTGAAGGAGGAGGAGGAGGAGGAGGAAGCATAAGTAAAAAGGGGGGAGCAGAAACCTGCTCTCCTACACATCTGACAGGCACCACTTTGGAGAAAGTTGGTGTACAGTTTTCCACACAGTTCATTCCATCCTGGATGGAATCTGCTTTGCTGATTGGCTCAATTTACATAATACAAGGTCCTTTTCTGGACAGCCACCTTCACCCTGTAGAGAGCAAGGAAGGTGACCTTGACAGAGATAGGCCAGTTCTGTTACCAAGCAGAAAAACATGGCTTAAGAGAAGATCCCTTCCTAGCTCACATGGGTGTAAGTAGGGGAAGGGGAACGTCACAATCCCACTTGCAAGAGGTTGTTCGTTCATCCATCTCCATCAAAGTACACTTAGCTTTCTTATGAAGTTGACTCGTGGTCTGGTCTACCTGGTGGAGCTGATCCAAGGACGTTCCTAACCCAGGTTGTGTATATGCTTGAGGGGCACCCTTCAAGGTGCCCTCCCTGAGACACACCTAGTGTGGTCACCAGCTCACGGAGGTCCCCGGGGCCACCTCCTTCCAGGCACTGCAAGGCTTCCAGGACTTCCAAGGAATTGCCCACCCGGCAACCGATGGGCTCATCCATCCTGCTCAGAATTGCCGCTGTTTTCGTCCCGAGATGGTTTCCGACGGACACCTGGGAAAGATGGGAGAGAAAGCACGAGAAAGGTGAGACTTCTCCACCCTCAGTTGGTGGAAGTCCCAGATCTCTATGGAAGCTTCTGCAAGAAGGTAAGTGAGGTGGTCCTGTTGGGTTGCACCTCTTCTCAACTAGGGGTTCCCCAACCTTGGCAACTTTTAAGACCTGTGGACTTCAACCGCCATCCCCACCACCTGACTGTCCACTCTCCAGAGAAGCTGAACGGGCCGCTTTGGTCTCACCAGGCTTTGCGCAAGTTGCTCAGCGCCCTCCAGTGTGTGGTACAAGGCGGCGCTGCCAAATTTGACGTCCAGCACCAGAGCGGAGAGCCTCTCCACCATCTTCTTACTCAGGATGGAACCTAAGAGCCCAGGAAGGAGCCACTGAGTCCATGGTGCACAGCTCTTCCTCTGTACTTCATAGAAACGTAGGGCATTTCTTCTGCGCGGAAAGCAGGAGACTCAGTGGCCCACCCAATCTCTCCTTTGTGTTTGTTTGTTTGTTTGTTTTCTTCTTAATCGGTTTTCTTGTATTAACATTTTTTATATTTTATTTTTATTTTATTTTTAAATGGGCAGGTGATAAACATGTGCAGAGATATCACCCTGCCAACAAAAGTACGTATAGGCCAGGCCATGGTTTTCCCAGCTGCAATGTATGGCTGTGAAAGTTGGACCCTAAGAAGGGCTGAGCGCCAAAGAATGGAGGCCTTTGAACTCTGGTGCTGGAGAAGACTCCTGCGAGTCCCCTGGACTGCAAGGCGTTCAAACCGGTCAGTCCTAGAAGAGATCAACCCCGACTGCTCTTTAGAAGGCCAGATCCTGAAGTTGAAACTCAAGGACGTTGGCCACCTAATGAGAAGGAAGGGCTCACTGGAGAAGAGCCTGATGCTGGGAAAGATGGAGGGCAAGAGAAGAAGGGGATGATAGAGAATAATGAGGTGGCTGGAGGGAGTCACTGAAGCAGGAGGCGTGAGCTTCAATGGACTCCAGAAGATGGCAGACGACAGGAAGGCCTGGAGGAACATAGTCCATGGGGTCGCAATGGGTCGGACACAACTTCGCAACTAACAATAACAACAAAACATGTGTTTATCCCAAGAAGGTGTTAAACTCATTCCCTAACGACTGACCCACCACATCCCCTGGACGTTGGTTCCAAGCTTCCGCTCCACTTTCTGTGAAGTCCTGGATTTGCGACCGCAATCAGACTAACCGTCTTCATTGCTAAGTGAGATAGTTGTTGAAAACATTTCGCTTCTTATCCAAGAAGCTTCTTCAGTTCTAACGGAAGAACTTAAGAACTTCTCCAGAACTGAAGAAGCTTCTTGGATAAGAAGTGAAATGTTTCCAAGGGGAAAAAACCCAAGTTGCCTTTTGGAAAAAGAACACCTTTGGGACAACCACAGAGCCCCACAAACCGACAAGCCCAAAATCGAACGACTGAGAAACCCTGCGGGATTTCAGCATCCGCCATGACCGTCCAGAGTCAGAGGACCTACTTATAATGAGGGGCAGGCTGTCCACCGTGGCTGTGACGTCTCTCAGGGCATAGAGGACCTTGTCTGCTGGAACCAGATGCTGGCTCTGTTCCACGATGCAGCACCCGGCTTTTTCCAGGATCTCTCTCATCTGCGGGAGAACAAAGCCCATCGTTTGGGGTCCAAGAAGTAGGATTCTAGCCTGGTTCTTCCTTCACTGTCCAGGCAAACCTTGAGTTGCCAGAACCTCAACCCATGTTCTACATCGCCTTAAACCACAAACATGCCAGTTCCCTTTGGATCTAATTGAAGGGAACTGACAGAAGGGAAACCTTTGAAGCTCCGGGTTGAACTGTGTGGTCCTTGGTGCTCTCTGAGCTGGGTGGTTTTCTTGGAGACGTTTCCTGACCCAACTAGGGAACATCATCAGTGCTAGAAGGGAGTGGGAAGGAGAAGGGAGGGAGGGAGGGAGGGAGGGAGGGAGGGAAGGAAGGAAGGAAGGAAGGAAGGAAGGAAGGAAGGAAGGAAGGAAGGAAGGAAGGAAGGAAGGAAGGAAGGAGAACTGTGGGGTCCTTGGTGCACTCTGAGCTGGGTGGTTTTCTTGCAGACGTTTCCTGACCCAACTAGGGAACAGTATCAGTGCTAGAAGGGACGGGGCAGGAAGAGCAGGAAGAGGAGGAGGAGGAGGAGGGGGGAGGAGGGGGAGGAGGAGGATAGTGGAGTCCTCCGTGCTCTCTGAGCTGGGTGGTTTTCTTGCAGACGTTTCATGACCTAACTAGGTAACATCATCAGTGCTAGAAGGGGTGAGATTTGAGGAGGAGGAGGATAGTGAAGTCCTTGGTGGTCTCTGAGCTTGGTGGTTTTCTTGCAGACATTTCATGACCCAGCTGGGTATCATCACTGCCATAGACTTGTGCTAAAAGGCTTCTAAGCACTGATGATATTACCTAGCTGGGTGATGCAACGTCTGCAAGAAAGCCACCCAGGGCAGAGAGCACCAAGGATGACACAATACCGGATCCGCTGGCTGGGAAATTATCAGTCAGCATAGCGCACCGGTCTTCTCACCTGCTCTGGGCTCTGGGAAACGCAGAAGCCTGGCACGGATTCCAGCTTGTCCAGGGTGCCCCCGGTATGGCCCAGGCCCCGGCCACTGATCATGGGCACCTGTTCAGGGGAAAGAGGCACGGAGGGTTAAGAGGCCAAAAGCCCTCCAGCACTGGCTCGTAGGAAGAAGAAGGAGCACCGCACATCATTCCTGGGCAGAGTGAGTCTCTGGGTGATCCAGTTGCTGCCCTTCATTTTGTGGATTGGAGAAGCCCAAAGAAGGAAGTTTGCCTGGATTTGCAGAGGACCCGGGCCACATTCAGACGTTAAGGAAACCAGGATTCACGGCAGTCTGGCAGCAAAGCCAGAGGTGAGCCAGGAAGGGGGCAGCCTGGCCATCGTGACGCACCTTGCAGCCACAGGCCGCCAACGCCGGCGCCAGGGGCAGGCTGACTTTGTCCCCTACGCCCCCCGTGGAGTGCTTGTCCACCAGCAGCCCTCGCCACTGTGCCGGCCACTCCAGGGTGGTCCCCGAAGCCGCCATTTCCCGGGTCAGGACCAGCGTCTCGCAGGGATCCATGCCTCGCAAGCGGATGGCCATCAGCATAGCCCCTGGGAGAAGAGAGGAGGGGGGTTGGGGGGAGGGTCCCAGATGGAAAAAGGGTTTAATTATTTGTTTTAAAACCATTTCACTCTTTTAATTTAAAAAAGTATTTAATTTCATTTTAGAATGTTTTAATTTAAAGAAAAATAACTATTAAGAAAAAGCAGCTGTCATTTGCAAACCATGGTTCTGTGGGGTCCAAAGGAGTTGAGTGCAGTGCAAGCTACAGGAGAGCTTGCGGTCCCTACTTGTCCACATGCCAGCCCACACAGACACCCCACAATTCCCTCCCACCACCTCTGCCAGTGTCCAGGTATTGATTTAACAGCTAACCAGCTTATGTAATGTACGATGTAAGATGTAACGATGGGAACGACTCAGCAATGTCTGTGTCTCTTTAAGAGCCTCTGTATAAAAGGAAGGCTCTGCTGATGTGTTCTTTTTCTCTGCTGTAACTGTGGTTGGTTGGATCCTGCTGTATTAGCATGTGTGTGTATATTGTTCCTGGTGCATGATATTGTAGATAGTGTTAAGATAAAGCACCATGTAATACAAACCACTGTTTACTGTGTTTACTCCTGGCTTATCTCAGCGCAATAAGACGGTGCACGCTCCGACAGCCAGGCTCACCGATTTGCCCCTCCCGCGATCTGCCACTACCCAGAGTTTGCACGAAGTAGCGGATTTCGCCTGGTTGCAGTGTCTGGCCATCTCGTTTCTTCCGAATAATTTCCGGGATGCTGATTAGGCCGCCTTCCTTGGAGTCCTTGGGGCCGGGCCCTGCAAAGGCAAAACAGGGGCCACGGTTGAGACGGGGAAGGGGCAATGATATAGCAGGAAGAGGGCTCTCTCTTCCTTGTCCCCTCCCCCTCTAGGAAGTGTCACAACCCCGCCCGCTTAGCAGAGGGGAAACTACACTCTGAGTATGGGCAGAGCAGCCATGGCCAAGCAATGCCACAGGATCTTATTGCGTCTTCCCCTCCCGTGAGCCTCCTCTTGGGCTGATCAAGACCCCTCTGGCTCCCGATTATGCAAATGGCCCTGTTGCCCCCACCCCAGGGGGGGGTCATCGCTTTGTTAATTATGCATCCCAGTTTGAAAATTGGTAATGGGGGGGGGAAGTTACCTGGATGCGCGGGGTCTCTTGGGGAAGACATCAGCTGCGGAAGGAACCACAATGCAATCTGTGCCTCTCTTAGTCACGGACGTTCTGGTGCCAAAGGTGTCTGTGCGCTGAGCGCTGCTTGGATGTTGGGGTCCTCAAATTTTGAATCTCAGCTTTCTACTCTAAATATTCAGCAATTTGCCAGCGAGGTTGTAAAAGGTTTTTGAGCTCCTGTTGGGAATGTCAGAAAGTTTTAGGTTTTTTTTTAAAAAAGAGGCTTAAAAAAGTGTTAAATATAACTGAACAGAAGAACAGACTCTCCCAAAGTTGGTTTGCTGCACATATTTGAGTCAAACATTTAATAGTATGGATTGCACAATCTTTCTGTGGCATTAATGAGTCATTTGCTGAGATGGACAGTTTTGAAATCAAAAGCAAGCAAGCGAGCAAACAAGCAAGCAAGAAAGAAAGACAGAGACAGAAAGGAAAAAGAAAGAAAGAAAAAGAAAGAGCAAAAGAAAAAGAAAGAAGAGAAGAAAAAAAGAGAGAGAAAGAAAGAAAGAAACAGAAAAAACAAAGGAAAGAAAGAGAGAGAAAGTTTTTCCTCGTTCTGAAGCAGCTAGCCTCTTTCTATTTGTGAGAACAATTAAACAGTGGAACAACTTGCCACTAGAAGTTGTGGGGGCTCCATCACTGGAGGTTGTTTAAGAAGAGACTGGACAGCTACCTGTCCAAAATGGTACCAGGGTCTTCTGCTCAAGCAGAGGGCTTGACTAGAAGACTTCTAAAGTCCCCCCAACTCTGTTTTTCTCTATCTGTGTCCCTTCCTTCCAGGAAGGGGAAGGCAGCTGACTGCTGGGCAGCTGCAGGAATGAGGAAGGGGCTGCAAACTCGTCTAATCAAGAAGGAGAGAGATGGGGAAGGGGGGAGAGGAACACCGAGGGCTGCCAACCAGGTGGAAGAAAGGGAACCAGCTCAGAAAGAAAAAAAGTGAGTGAGTAAGTGAGACCTCAAAACAGGGCCTGCCCAGCATCTGCCCGGACCCCTGAGATTAGGGTGGCCACATCTGGAGAACTCACCTCTGAGCACCGAGGTCCTCCCTTGGTCGTATGGGCCAGCAGGTGCCTGTCCGGAAGTCCCACTGGACAGTTCTCTTCCAGGGACAGGGGGAGTGGGGGGCCGGCCTTGGCAGAGGCTGGGGAAGGGCTTGAACCCCCTCTGCGATCCGGGGTCAAGGTGAAGCAGGATCCTGGCACAGGAGAGAGAGAGAGAGAGAGAGAGAGAGAGAGAAGGAGAGAGAGGGAGAGCTTGGAGCAAAGGAGAACGGAGGCCGAGGTGGTGTCCTCAGTGCTTCTCCAAGCTGAGCAGGAACAAAACCAGATGTGGCTTGTAGATTTTGCTGCTCTGGCCGCCCAGCTGCTTCCTTGCCAGCTGCCGCTCCCTGACAGCCAGAGCTGGACGTGGCTTGGGGAATTTTGGCAACGACTGGAAATGTCGCAACGCGGTTCCTGTTGTATGTTTCCTTGCATTGGTTAATCTTTGACATGTCGGGTGTTCAAACATGTGCGGGGATTATTATTGTTGTTGTTGTTGTTGTTGTTGTTATTATTATTATTCATTAGATGTGAACCCAGTCAACTAAACATAATAATAATGATGATGATGATGATGATGATGATGATGATGATGACAATAATAATAATAATAGGAAGACCAGAAAAATAATGACAATGAATCATGCCCTTCATCCACGCAGTGACATGGACAGACTTTATCTACCAAGGCAAATAGGTGGGCGTGGAATGCTACAAGTACATCAGATGGTTGAAGAAGAAAAAATGGCTTTGGAAGAATATCTGAAGAACAATGATGAAGATGCACTGAAATTAGTATATCAGGAAGGCTTACTGACTACTGGAGAGACCAAACTGGCCTACAAGAAAGACCAAATGAAGAACAGAATAGAGGCATGGGAAGACAAAGCACTACATGGCCAATACATTAAAAAAATAGCTGGGAAAGCAGATGTTAACAAGACCTGGCAATGGCTAAGAGCAGGAAAATTGAAGAAAGAGACTGAGTGACTAATTCTGGCTGCACAAGACCAAGCCTTAAGGACAAATGCATATAAAGTCAAAATTGAGAAGACAGCAACAGACAGTAAGTGCCGCCTATGTAAAGAAGCTGAAGAAACAGTGGACCACCTGGTAAGCTGCTGCAAGAAGATTGCACAGACTGACTACAAGCAGCGGCATGACAAAGTAGCAACAATGGTGCATTGGAAGATCTGCAAAAAATATCATTTGCCTGTAAGCAAAAACTGGTGGGATCATAAAATAGAGAAAGTCATAGAAAATGATAAAATTAAACTGCTCTGGGACTTCAGAATTCAAACAGACAAGCACCTGCAACATAACACCCCAGACTTAACAATTGTCGATAAGAAAGACAAAAAAGTCTGGATAGTGGACGTGGCAGTGCCTGGAGACAGCAGAATAGACGAGAAAGAACTGGAGAAGATAACAAAATACAAAGACCTACAAATAGAAATAGAAAGACTGTGGCAAAAGCAAGCAAGGGTAGTACCAATAGTAATAGGCTCCTTGGGTGCAATCCCAAAACAACTGGAGCACCACTTGAACACCATTGGCATTGACAAATTCGCTATTAGTCAATTGCAAAAGGCGGCCTTACTAGGAACTGCTTCCATCCTGCGACGATATCTGTAATACCATCAAACATCCACATCTGCCTATCCCAGGTCCTGGGTAAGGACTCGATAGGTAGACAAAATGCCAAATCCAGTCTGAACATCTGGCTGACTGTGCGATGATAAAATAATAATAATAATAATAATAATATAATAATAATCCCCCAGTGAGGCACTACCTTGACGTGGTTGTGGGGCTTGTGTACTCTGAGGAAGATGAGAGCTATGCCAGAGGTTCAACCATACTGGACAGGTCTCATCAGAGGAGTCAGACAAAGAGTGTCTCTCCCATAAAAAATATGGTGAGACGTAAATTTCAGAATGCCATACCGGCTCGGACGTCGCCCGGGTTAACAAGGTCCGCACTAGATATTGGAGTTCCTGGATATCTGGTGAAAAATGGGTTACAGGACTCAGGACTGTTGGCTGAGCAACCAGGGCCAGCAGCTGCAGAACTACTGGAAGAAAAGGTGTTTACCCGTCGCAGATACACAGTGATGGAAAACAAAGAAATAATGATCTGTTACTACAGATCAAGTCCAACAAGACGAGGATATCTAAAACGAATGCACCAGTTCTGGAAAGAACAACATCCAGAATCAGAAATAACAGAACAGAGACTAGCAGATCAACGCCGATTTATAACACGAAATAAAGTATTTACAGAAACAGAATTGGACGAACTGCAAAGGTTTACCCAGGGCAAAGAAATCAAAGCCTTACCAGAAGTAATTCAGAATGTAGAGGCAAACCAGGGGAGTTGGCAGTGAAGGAATCCAGCAGAGATATACAACTGTTCTCATTTGAAACCAGGCACCTCTTCCTCAGGAAGAACAAAACCCTCTAACTAAAGAAATAAAAGAATTGAAACAAAGAATAACTGAGCATCTAGAACAGCACAAAAACAACAGAATAAGGCTGCCTGCATTGAAACTTGTTTCAAAGAAACAGCTAGCACAAGCATTAAAAGATGCAAATACTGCAATAGCAAGTATAAGCACCAATTCACTGCAAGAAACAAACCAACTAATGTACAGCACAGCTGCAGTTATAACAGAATACCTGGGATGCAAAATCAACAAAAAAGAAAAAACAAACAGTGCACCAGAAAAATGGAAGGTTAGACTAGAAAATAAGATCAGCAAGTTAAGATCACATGCAAGCAAGCTAGAACAGATGAAAGAAAAGAAGCTGAAGAACAAGAAGACCAAAGAATACCTAATCAAGAAATACCACTTAGAAACAAGGAAGATCAAGGAAGCACTGGAAATAATAAAGCAACAAATAACAGCTATAGCCAGGAAAATCAGTAGATATGAAGCTCGAATTGCAAACTATAGGCAGAACCTCCAATTTCAATCCAATCAGAAACGTTTCTACCAATCCATCAATGGAGAAACTGCAAGGAATCAGTCAGTACCTGACAAGGAAGAAACAGTGCAGTTCTGGAAGCAGATATGGGATAACCCAAAGAAATACAACAAGGATGCGCTTGGTTAAAAGAGGTGGATGCAAATAAAACAGAAGTTGAAATGAAAGAACTAGTAATAACAACAAAAATGGTAGAAAAAAGAGCAAAGAAAATCAAAAATTGGTCAGCACCAGGTGAAGATGAACTGCATGGGTTTTGGTTGAAACATCTAACTGTTATACACCCACTCATTGCCAAGCAGTTCAACAATATACTACAAGGAGGAGAAATTGAAAAGTGGCTAACAACTGGGAAAACCTACCTAATAATGAAAAATCCAGCAAAAGGGGCAACACCAGGTAACTACAGGCCAATTACCTGCTTACCAACAACTTTCAAATTACTAACTGGTGTGGTAGCTGATGCAGTACAACAGCATCTAGTTGAAAACAATCTCTTTCCACCTGAGCAGAAAGGAAACCGCCCCAATAGCAGAGGAACAAAAGATCAACTCCTAATAGACAAAATGATCTTGGAAAACTGCAAGAGAAGGAAGACCAACCTGAATGTGGCATGGATTGACTACAAAAAGGCATTTGACTCTCTGCCACATGATTGGATAATAAAGTGCCTAGAAATAACAGGAGTCAGTAGAAACATCAGAAAATTTGTGCAAAGATCGATGGCACAATGGAAGACACAGTTGCAGATCAATGGTGAGAAGCTGGGAGAGGTTAATATCAAGAGAGGAATATTTCAAGGAGATTCATTATCACCATTACTATTTGTTATTGCACTGTTTCCTCTGTCAACAATACTGAATAACTCAGGACATGGCTATCAAACATCAAAAACATCTGCCAGACTATCCCACCTCCTTTACATGGATGATCTGAAGCTGTATGGAAAAACATCATCTGAAATAGAATCGCTGCTCAACACTGTCCGTATATATAGCCAAGATATTGTAATGGAGTTTGGCTTGGACAAATGTGCCACACTTACTATCAAACAAGGAAAAATAGTGAAAACTGAAGGAATCAAGATGCCCCACGAAAATAACATTAAGAGTCTGGATGAGGAAGAATACTACAAATACTTGGGTATCCTTCAAGCTGACAACATCAAGCACACTGAAGTCAAGAAAAAGATTAGAGGTGAATACATCAAGAGAGTGAAGAAGATCTTAAAATCCAAACTCAATGGAGGAAATACCATAAAGGCAATCAACACCTGGGCAATCTCAGTCATTAGGTACACAGCTGGAATAGTGGACTGGACTCAAGCAGAACTAAAAGCAATGGATAGGCAGACCAGAAAAATAATGACAATGAATCATGCCCTTCATCCACAGTGACATTGATAGACTTTATCTACCAAGGCAAATAGGTGGGCGTGGAATGCTACAAGTACATCAGATGGTTGAAGAAGAAAAAATGGCTTTGGAAGAATATCTGAAGAACAATGATGAAGATGCACTGAAATTAGTATATCAGGAAGGTTTACTAACTACTGGAGAGACCAAACTGGCCTACAAGAAAGACCAAATGAAGAACAGAATAGAGGCATGGGAAGACAAAGCACTACATGGCCAATACATGAAAAAAATAGCTGGGAAAGCAGATAATAATAAAACCTGGCAATGGCTAAGAGCAGGAAAATTGAAGAAAGAGACCGAGGGACTAATTCTGGCTGCACAAGACCAAGCCTTAAGGACAAATGCATACAAAAGTCAAAATTGAGAAGACAGCAACAGACAGTAAGTGCCGCCTATGCAAAGAAGCTGAAGAAACAGTGGACCACTTGGTAAGCTGTTGCAAGAAGATTGCACAGACTGATTACAAGCAGCGCATGACAAAGTAGCACAATGGTGCATTGGAAGATCTGCAAAAAATATCATTTGCCTGTAAGCAAAAACTGGTGGGATCATAAAATAGAGAAAGTCATAGAAAATGATAAAATTAAACTGCTCTGGGACTTCAGAATTCAAACAGACAAGCACCTGCAACATAACACCCCAGACTTAACATTGTCGATAAGAAAGACAAAAAAGTCTGGATAGTGGACGTGGCAGTGCCTGGAGATAGCAGAATAGAGGAGAAAGAACTGGAGAAGATAACAAAATACAAAGACCTACAAATAGAAATAGAAAGACTGTGGCAAAAGCAAGCAAGGGTAGTACCAATAGTCATAGGCTCCTTAGGCGCAATCCCAAAACAACTGGAGCACCACTTGAACACCATTGGCATTGACAAATTTGCTATTAGTCAATTGCAAAAGGCAGCCTTATTAGGAACTGCTTCCATCCTGCGACGATACCTGTAATACCATCAAACATCCACATCTGCCTATCCCAGGTCCTGGGTAAGGCTCGATAGGTAGACAAAATGCCAAATCCAGTCTGAACATCTGGCTGACTGTGCGATGAATGATAATAATAATAATAATGATGATGATGATGATGATGAAGAAGAACATGTTTTTTTTACTCATTGCTGTCCTGCTACGATCTCAGTGGTTTACAGTGTTTGGAAGCTGTTGATACCAAGGTTTCTTTCTGGGTTGGGCTAATAAATTTTTATTTTTTATATATATAAAAAAGGAAAAAGTCCTTATTGTCAGAATCCAATTATATTTCATCTTTAATTATCAAACATAGAAACTCCCAATTCTGCCTTCTCTGGATTCTGCCATAAGAGGGAGAAAAGGGGGAGAGCAAAGGGGCTTTATGGCCCTCACTTCCTTCAGCACACTTCAAAGGACTGAATGTGTGTTTATTGTGGCCTCTAAGCTTTAACATATCAAATAAGAGTAATTGCCTTTCATGTAGTTATCTGAAGTCTCCATCCAGACGGAAGAAGAAAGGGGATGGAATTGTGATACTTGAAACTATCACTGGAAGGGGGGTTGATTGGGTGGGACTACTGGGGAACCCCGTAAAACCTTGAATGGGAGAGCTTGAACCCCAAGTCCTGTCTAGCATGCCTGCAACCATTTTCTCTTAATAAAGGATTCCTGTTGGAAGAATTATTCCAAGAGTTCGGTCTTCTTAAGATGCAAAGTGGGGTGGGTCCTCACATTAGACAGGACTTGCAAAATTAATCCACCTGGAAGGAAGACCCTTGCCGGGGGATTTTGCAAAAATTTACCATGTCAGACAATGGAGCAAAAGAGGGGGAAAACTCCCTGGAAAGAGAGACGCTGACCCAGTTGGAACCTTGCCAGATGTTGGGATCCGAGAGGCCAGATTCCTCAGGAGAAGAAGTGGTGGAGACACAGGACCACAAGCCTCGCTGGTCGATGGGCGTTGGAAAGAAAAGTGAGTGGGTCCATAAACGTCACGTCAGAGCCCCGAAGCTATTGAAGAAGTTTCACACAGAGTATCCTAACAAGCCTAACTAAATTTTTTACTTGTGTTTTCTTTCAGGTGGATCTCTCTTATTGTTAAGAGGGGCCGGATGTCAGAATCCAATGATATTTCATCTTTAATTATCAAACATAGAAACTCCCAATTCTGCCTTCTCTGGATTCTGCCATAAGAGGGAGAACAGGGGGAGAGCAAAGGGGCTTTATGGCCCTCACTTCCTTCAGCACACTTCAAAGGACTGAATGTGTGTTTATTGTGGCCTCTAAGCTTTAACATATCAAAGAAGAGTAATTGCCTTTCATGTAGTTATCTGAAGTCTCCATCCAGACGGAAGAAGAAAGGGGATGGAATTGTGATACTTGAAACTATCACTGGAAGGGGGGTTGATTGGGTGGGACTACTGGGTAACCCCTTAAAACCTTGAATGGGAGAGCTTGAACCCCAAGTCCTGTCTAGCATGCCTGCAACCATTTTCTCTTAATAAAGGATTCCTGTTGGAAGAATTATTCCAAGAGTTCTGTCTTCTTAAGATGCAAAGTGGGGTGGGTCCTCACACTTATTTTTAATCCCCCCGAGTGATGCAGTGTGATCTCCAATCGGCCTCCTACGCAGAGGCTCTGCCACTCGGTCCTACCTCGCAGGGTCCCCCCAAGTGGGTTAGAGGGGTGGAGAGGCTGTGCCTTGAAATGCCAGTTTAAATGCCCTTAAACCCCACCTGCCCTTTGCCCCCAGGCCTTTCAAGAGCTGGGGGGGGGGAAAGGGCAGTGGACCAGCCAGGCCACCAACTGGACACTGACCTTAACCCTCACCGGCTTTTCCCTTGTCCTTAAGTGACCGGCTTTTGTGTGGCTGCCAACCCATGTTGACCAAGCACTCACACAACGGTTTACACAAAGCACACAGCTCCAAACAGGGCAACGCCTGTTTCTGTTTCGCTTCGCTTGGCCAGACCATCAAATCTTTTTTTGATTGTGGTTGACTTTTTTGAGGGAAGCAAGTTGGGGCAGAGGTTGTCCTCCGGCATCAGACCAAGACCACACACCGCCCAACTTTATGGCAGCCCCTAAATCAGGGTTTCTCAAGATGAGTAGATGCCCCCCACCCCCCAAAAAGCCCCCGGAAAGACTCTGAAGGGAGGACTCACCAAGGACCAACAGCTGGGGAAGATGACAAGATCTGCAGAGATGGAGAAACTGACTTTATTAAGGGAAGGCCAATGACTCCCGTACTGGCCAGGGGAAGACCCGGTGGGCCCTATTTTTTTTCTTTCCTTTCCTTTGCTGAAACAAGAAAACACAGGAACACGTGACTTACGGGCTTGAGGATTAGAAAGGGTGGAATAGAAAGCGAAAGAAGAAAAGGAAGTTATGCTGTAACCTTAGAAGGGGTGAACTATTAAGGGACTTGTAGCTGCTGTTAAAGAGAGCAGAAGTCATTCCTTTATATCCTTCCTTCTTTTCTTCCCTTCTTTCTTTCTTTCTCATTATTTATTTCTTCCCTTCCTTCCTTCCCTTCCCCCTTCTTTCCCTCCCTTCCTTCCTTTCCTCCTTTCTTTTTCTTTCTTTCTTTCTTTTTCTTTCTTTCTTTCTTTCTTTTTCTTTCTTTCTCATTTATTTCTTCCCTTCCTTCCTTCCCTTCCCTTTCCCCTCCTTCCCCCTTCCTTCCTTCTTTCCTTCCATCCCTCCTTCCTTTCTTTCTTTCTTTCTTTCTTTCTTTCTTTCTTTCTTTCTTTCTTTCTCTTTCTCATTATTTATTTCTTCCCTTACTTCCTTCCCTTCCCTTTCCCCTCCTTCCCCCTTCCTTCCTTCCTTCCTTCCTTCCCTCCTTCCTTTCTTTCTTTCTTTCTTTCTTTCTTTCTTTCTTTCTCTTTCTCATTATTTATTTCTTCCCTTACTTCCTTCCCTTCCCTTTCCCCTCCTTCCCCCTTCCTTCCTTCCTTCCTTCCTTCCTTCCTTCCTTCCTTCCTTTCTTTCTTTCTTCCTTTCTTCCTTCCTCCCTCCCTCTTTCCTTCCTTCCTTCCTTCCTTCCTTCCTTCCTTCCTTCCTTTCTTTCTTTCTTTTCTTTCTTTCTCTCCTTTTTCTCTTTTTCTTTCTTTCTTTCTCATTATTTTTCCTCCCTTCCTTCCTTCCCTTTCCCTTTCTTTCCCCTCCTTCCCCCTTCCTTTCATTTCTTTCTTTCTTTCTTTCTTTCTTTCTTTCTTTCTTTCTTTCTTTTTCTTTCTCCTTTTCCTTTTTTCTCATTTTTTATTTCTTCCCTTCCTTCCTTCCCTTCCCCCTTCTTCCCCCTCCTTCCCCCTTCCTTCCTTCTTTTTTTTTCTTTCTCTCCTTTTCCTCTTTTTCTTTCTTGTTATTTATTTCTTCCCTTACTTTTTTATTTCAAAATTTGTGTTTTTATTTTATTCTTCCCTGCCAGGGCACTCTTGACCCACGTATGGGCTCGACTGCAGTTGTAAATGGAGGATTACCTGGATGACCACCTTATACTGAACGTCGTAGGGTGAGCCTGTATAGTTTCCTAATCTGGACTACCGGGAAGGGCTGAACAGTCTGGGCTGTGGCAACAACACCCGGGCACAATTTTAGCAGGAAAAATGGTGCAACAATGTGGAGCAATTTTGCAAACCCACAACACAATCTCTACCCCCCCCCCACACACACACACACCCCCGCATCAACCCTGCTGGAGTTTCTTTCCAGGATTCCCAGATCTTTTGGGTCCAAGGTAAAGATGTACAACTGGACATTTGTATCTTATTTTATTTATTTATTTTATTTCATTCATTTAATATTTATATTGCTTTGATTTATTTGACACGTATGCGGGGCCACTCCAGGCGGCTTAAGACAATGAAAAGGAAGAAATGCAAAGTGTGTAAGCAGAACAGAAGTAAAATAACAGAGCCCTAACAGAAGCAGTGAAAAGGAATAGGACGGTAATAACAATACATCAATAGGGTGACCAGAAAACATGGATGGGTGGAGAGCAGAGGTGGGGAGGTGGGTTTTGCCGTCAGTTCAACAGCCCCCCCTCCAGCGTGGAACTCCCCCATTGGGACCTGAGGCCCACCCACCGAGACAGGTCTTCAGGCTCCTATGGAAGGAGGGTGGGGGCAGAGGTTATCCTACAGCAGGGGTCTCCAAACTCGGCCCTTTTATGACTTGTGGACTTCAACTCCCAGAATTCCTCAGCCAGCATGTCTATCTGAGGAATTCTGGGAGTTGAAGTCCACAAGTCTTAAAAGTGGCCAAGGTTATCCTACAGCAGGGGTCTCCAAACTCAGCCCTTTTATGACTTGTGGACTTCAACTCCCAGAATTCCTCAGCCAGCGTGCCTGGCTGAGGAATTCTGGGAGTTGAAGTCCACAAGCAGGGGTCTTCAAACCTGGCCCTTTTATGACTTGTGGACTTCAACTCCCAGAATTCCTCAGCCAGCGTGAGGGAACTAGGACCCTTTTATGACTTGTGGACTTCAACTCCCAGAATTCATGTGTGTGTCCACACTTGGCCACTTTTAAGACTTGTGGACTTCAACTCCCAGAATTCCTCAGATAGACATGCTGGCTGAGGAATTCTGGGAATTGAAGTCCGCAAGTTGCCAAGATGCTTGGTGAGACCATCATTTCTCAGACTTGGCCACCTTAAGGTGTGTGAACCTCAGCTCCCAGAATTCCCTGCGCCGGGCTTGAGAAAAGCTGGCCTAGACCTTTTTTCCACCTCGACACCCTCCAGAACCACCCGCAGAAGAAGGAAGAGAACCTGCTGAAGACTGGCGTCTCCCCTTCTCTCCACCCTCGGCTAGCCAGAAGGACACCATGACCAAAGAAGGCCAAGACAAATCCATTAATCCTGGTCTTGGGGTGCCTCTTCTCTTTATTCATCTTGTGTTTCGCCCTTTCTTGGTGACATGTAACCACGGGCAGATACCACAAGATGTTTCTGTTCAATGTTTTGAGCACTCTTTTGGCAAAAAGGGGTGAGGAACACAAGCGGCCTTTCCATGTGTGGTTTCGACGTGGGCTGAGCTTTGAGCATTGTCTGATGACCATTTGAGTTCCAGTAGACACTTCTCCAGACCTTCAGCCACGGAGGGAGGAGAAAGGCACCCTGAGCAACTTCAAGCTGGATCTGCCCACCTTGGAGCCAAGCAAGTAACACCCGCCCAGATATTCAACATCTACTTTCTACTGATCCAGGATGAGGAAATGGCCCCAAAGCTTTAGGTACAGGATTCGCAAAGAGGCTGTGGGCAAATCCGACCTCAACCTCAGTGTTCCAATATCTCAGGGGCTGCCATAAAGAAGAGGGAATTAAGCTCTTCTCCAAAGCACCTGAAGGCAGGACAAGAAGCAAGGGATGGAAACTAATCAAGGAGAGAAGCAACCTAGAACTAAGGAGAAACTTCCTGACAGTGAGAACAATTAATCATTGGAACAGCTTGCCTCCAGAAGCAGTAAATGCTCCAACACTGGAAGTTTTTAAGAAGAGACTGGACAGCCATTTGTCCGAAATGGTGTAGGGTTTCCTGCCCGAGCAGGGGGTTGGACTAGATGACCTCCAAGGTCCCTTCCAACTTTACTATTATTATTATTATTAACCTTAGCATCTTTGAGAGATGTGGACTTTGGCTCCCAGAACTCTGAAAGGGTATAGGATCTCCTGCTTGAGCGGGGGGTTGGACTAGAAGACCTCCAAGGCCCCTTCCAGCTCTATGCTGATTGATAATTCCCCAGCCAGCAGGTCTGGTATTGTGTCATCCTTGGTGCTCTCCGAGCTCGGTTACTTTCTTGCAGACGTTGCGTGACCCAATGAGGTACCACCATCAGAGCATAAGCTCTGATGATGTTACCTAGCTGGGTCATGAAATGTCTTCAAGAAAGCAGCCAAGCTCAGAGAGCACCAAGGACCCCCCACAGTTCCTCTTCCTCCTCCTCCTCCTCCTTCTAGCACTGATGATGTTACCTAGTTGGGTCATGAAATGTCTTCAAGAAAGCAACCAAGTTCAGAGAGCACCAAGGACCCCCCACAGTTCCTCCTCCTCCTCCTCCTCCTCCTCCTCCTCCTCCTAGCAGTGATGATGTTACCTACTTGGGTCATGAAACGTCTACAAGAAAACCTCCAAGCTCAGAGAGCACCTCCACCTCCGCTACAAATATCGTCTTCCCTTGGGATGCCAACACTGTCCCTCTGTCCCACCACCCTTCAATCCATACCCAAACCTCTCAGTTGGCTGGAAGTAAAAGAACGGGAGGTCTAGGACGTCTGCCCAATACAGTGCAAGGCTCCATCCGGTCATTCTAACCCCCATAGATCAGGTGTCTCCAAACTTGGCCACTTTAAGACTTGGGGACTTCAAGTCCCAGAATTCCTCAGCCAACCCCCAAACTTGGCAACTTTAAGACTTCAACTCCCAGAATTCCTCAGCCAGCCCCCAAACTTGCCCACTTTAAGACTTGGGGACTTCAAGTCCCAGAATTCCTCAGCCAGCTGGCTGAGGAATTCTGGGACTTGAAGTCCACAAGTCTTAAAGTCGTCAGGTTTGGAAAGCCCTCTGTAGACGACCCCCCTCCCTGCCCCAAATGGGAACCCCTCCCCCACAAGCATCAACGGGAGACCCAGAGATGGCAAAGAACGGCTTCTTGTCCAGCCCACCCAACCGGGGTCTAATCTGCCACATCCACAATCAGAGGTGCCACGTAGTCCGAGTGGCGGATCCCGAAGGTCAAGCCACGGAGTGGATTGTGCTGTGGGATTTGGGGAGGGGGGCAAGAGAAGAAAAGGAAAAAAAGGCGGTGTTACTTCTGGGGGGGGATAGAAAGAGGGGGCGGGCTAGAAAGCTGCCCCACGTCATGGGTTACGACCGTGATGGGCAAGCTCCATCACGGTCGTAACTGGAGGATTCCCTGTATGGGCAGAGGGCAAGGAAGCAAACGATTGAAAGGAAGGGCTGACTCCGGGAGCAGCCCCCTCCCCCTGCCTCCTATGGCCCCTTGGCTGCATGGGACCCCCACAGAAGCCCCCCCCCCAATTGCACGCCCTCACCTTCTCCGGACTGTAGGCCCCGGGGCCGGGAATGATGGTGGTGTCCCCCGGGAGCATGTTCCGCGCAATGATGCTGTAATGCGGGGGGCGGTTCTTGTAGACCCCGGTGTCCACCACGCGGTAATTGCACGGTCCTGGAGTCTGTGGGGGGAGGGAAGTCGAGCATCACAAACTGTCTACCCCACCCCTCAGGGTCCCAGCCCGTGGGCCCCATACAGAATGCGCCAGCGTGGAAAGTAACGGGGGAGGGGTAACTTTGCCCATGAAACCCCTCTGTTGTATGAGTCGCTCTGGCTTCCAGTTTCCTTCCGGATGCAATTCAAGGTGCTAGTCCTCACCTTTTAATGCTCTCTAAGGGTACAAGGGCAGATTACCTTCAGGGTCACCTTTCCCTAAAGACATTAACTCATCCTACTGGGTCAGATAGGGTGTACACACTCCTGGTCCTTTGCCCTAAATGTTACCATCTGATAGAAGCCAGGAAGGGCGCCTTCTCCCTGCAGCCCCTGCCCCATGGAATAGAAAACAGAATAGAATAGAATAGAAAATAGGGAACAGAATAAATAGAATAGAACAGAAGAGAAGAGAAAAGAAGAGAAAATAAGGAATATAATAGAATAGAATAATGAATATAATAGAATAGAATTAGAATAGAATAGAATAGAATAGAAGAGAAGAGAAAATAGGGAAGAGAAGAGAAAATAAGGAATAGAATAGAATAGAATAATGAATAGAATAGAATAGAATAGAATAGAATAGAATAGAATAGAATAGAATAGAATAGAATAGAATATAGGGAATAGAATAGAAGAGAAAAGAAGAGAAGAGAATAGTAGAATATAGAATAGAATAGAATAGAATAGAATATCAAGAGAAGAGAAGAGGTTGGAAGGGACTTTGGAGGTCATCTAATCCAACCCCTGTTCAAGCAGGAGACCCAAATGTCTGTCCAATAATAAATAAAGGAGGCCTGCCACCCTCCTGCCCCATGGCAGTTGTTTTCGACCAAAGCCCACCCACCCCTTAATAAGAGGGCTGCCCACGGAAGACCCCCCCAGGCTGGTTTTGAGGCTGGGCGTGACTGTTCTGGGGCATAAACCAGCTGCCCAGTCAGGGGTCCTTCTACTCTACCACCCAGCCCCCCTTCAAATGGGTACCCCAGGAGGCCTTAATTTTTGGCCTCAGTTTCCCTAGTGGAATTTTGTCAGCCAGGGTGCAAAAGGCTTAGCGACTCCCTCCTCCAGACCGGCCGACCGTTTTGGAACACCCCGTGGTCTCTGGTCTGAGCACTCTGTCCATGCTCAGGGCTATCTGTGCTGGGGGGGGGAGAGAATGCCCCGCGGCTGGATTTCCCGCCCGCAGCCCGTTCCCCCCTACCCGGCTGAGGTCCTCGTAGAAGCTCCCGACGGCGCTGCGTCCGAAAATGGAGTAATTGGGAGCCGAGCTCTTCCCGATCACTTTGGGGCCCAGCATGGGAGGGAGGCCGTAAGCAGCGGGCCCTGGGGGGGGGGACAAGGGAGGGCACAGTCAGGGCTCAGGGTGATGGTGGGGGCTTTGCTGGGAAGGAGGAAGCAGCACAAAGCAATGCAAAGTAACAGAACACAAAGCAAAACAAAGCAATGCAAAGAAATGGAACATAAAGCAACACAAAGCAACACAACACATAGCAAAACATAGCAACGCAAAGCAATGGAACATAAAGTAAAACAAAGCAACACAAAGCAACACAATACATAACAAAATAGCAACACAAAGAAAAACAAAGCAACTCAAGGTAAAGCAAAGCAGTGCAAAGCAATGCAACACAACCCAACAAAGCGACACAGAGCAATGAAATGCAATGCAACGCAAAGCAACGCAACGCAATGCAATGCAAAGCAAAGCAAAGCAAAGCAACACAAAGCAATGGAACACAAAACAAAAAAAGCAACACAAAGCAACACAACAGATAGCAAAACATAGCAACAGAAAGCAGCACAAGGCAAAGCAAAGCAGTGCAAAGCAACGCAATACAATACAACAAAGCAACCCAAGGCAAAGCAAAGCAACACAACACAACAAAGCAACACAAAGCAACCCAACCCAACGATGCTCCTTAGCTGTGTACATGCATTCAACAAAGGAAGAGGGGATTCAACCACACAGTTGTGGAGACCCCCCCCCCTTGGTGGATCCCCCCCACACACATGAGAGTTTGCCACGTCAGCATTGCGAGATGTGATGGCAGCCACTCTTGTAAGGCAACAACGCAAAGACGGCAGCTCCCTCAGTCGGACCAGATCGGCAAGCATAGTGTGCAGCATCCCTGACCCTCATTTTGATTTTTGTGTGGCCTACACATCCCCCTCAACTTACGACGACGACAAGCGGGACCAGAATTCCCAATGCTATGCCAGGCAGTCGTTAAATGAGTCACATTCAATTCTACAATGTGTTACGTTTTGCCACAGTTGTTAAGTGAAACAGTGCAGTCGTTAAGCAAATCCCTCTTCCTCCTTTGGCTTCGCTTGTCGGAGGGCAGCTGGGAATGTCGCAAATGGCAACAATGCGACGATACAACTGTCATATATACACGTGCAGGCTGCCAAGCGCCTGAATTTTGATCATGTCATCATGGGGAATGTCGTCGTAAGCGGTCGTAAGCGTGAGGACTGGTCGCAAATCCCCCTTTTTCCTGTGCCGCTGTCATTCTGAACGGTTTTAAGTCAAGAACTAGTTGCACATTAAAAGGGTGAATTTACTATGGCCTGGGAAAGCCTCTTAATACAGATCTCTTCGTCTAATTTGGGGGAGAAGTTAAGTAGTGAGCTTAACTATGGACTAGCCACTTGTGCGACTAAATGGCCAGCTGGTAGTCTGGGCTGCTGTCAGGGTCCGACTGGGTCCACCCTGCCCCTCACCTGGTGTCTGCTCATTCTGGAAGTCCTTTGTCCGCGAAGCCATTGAATAATTTGGGGCACATGGATAAGCCAACTTCCCAGCTTTCTCCGGAGAATAGCGACCTGCGAGTGAAAGCAAAGGAGGGGTTCTCTTTGGTCTGAGAGCCAGGAGGAGCTCAAGAGGAAGGGGAGATGAAACACGTGCTGCCCTTCCCCAAACATAACAGAACATCACAGGAGCCGCCAGTGTTGCCAGCACCCACAACTGATTGATTGTTCTCACTGATAGGAAAGTCCTATAGCAGGGGTTCTCAACCTTGGCAACTTTAAGACCTGTGGACTTCAACTCCCAGAATTCCTCAGCCAGCAAAGCTGGCTGAGGAATTCTGGGAATTGAAGTCCACAAGTCATAAAGTTGCCAAGGTTGAGAACCCCTGTCCTATAGAATAGAATAGAACAGAACAGAATATAGCAGTGGTGACGAACCTATGGCACGGGTGCTAGAGGTGGCACTCAGAGCCCTCTATGGGCACATCACCCTAGGCCTTCACATCATCCTAGGCCTTCAGCTGGGTTTTATAAAACCTTTTCGCTTTAGGCCTCTGCCTTTGTGTGCAAAAAAAAAAAAAAAAAAGGTTCAATCAATCAATCAATTTCAACTTCTTGCTGGGGAAAAAAAGATCTTG